TAAAAAAAACCTGTGAACATTGAAAAAAAATAAATAAAAAGGGGTTTTTGGGAAGCTCTAGGGAGAAGTCCCAGGTGTGGAGTGGAAAGGAGGAGTGGAAAGGAAGCGTGGAAAAAGCGAGGCAAGGAAGGCACCGGAACCCCTTCAGGAGAGACTCGGGAAGCAACCGACGGCCAGGTGGGTGTGAGTGCCTCTCTGGCCGCATGTCTCCACTTGGACAGTCTCAAGAGGAAGCCAGGCTGCAACGCAGCCCTTTGCAATTTTGTTTGGATTCCTGCAGTGCACTTTGGGATGTGGATCCCTCGAAAACAGTTCTGACATCTGCAGACCAGGGGTGAGGACGGATCCATACTGGCATCAAAAGCCCTGATTGTTAACAGGAAGGTTGGAGGTGCGAACTCACCCAGAAGAAAGTCCTGCTGAGTTAGTTCCAAAAAGATCAGTCATTGAAAACCCTAATGAGCACAATTCTCCACTGACACATACAGGGTCATCATGGGGCATACAGGACTCCAGGCTGCTGGCTTCAATGAGTCATCCACTCACAGTTAGACATCTTGATATAGCGGGACGCAGTAGGGGAAATGGATCGAGTTTGGGGGCGTGGCATGGACATAGTTTATCTACTTCCACAAGGGCAAATTCCCGGCTATTCTTCCACAATGATTAAGCAACAATAGGCTTGCTCCAGGAAAGAGTCTCTAACAGGCAGATTTTGCAAATCCAGCACCTCTCTACGGAGAAAGGAAAGACGCGGCGTCTGAGCTATCTGGTGTTTGCACAAATACTAAAGTATCTTTTTCACCTGTGACTTTATTCCTGCCGAATTGTACTCCCTAAAAAGAGAAAGAAAATAGTCCTAGGATGATTTTGAACATTTTTTCCAACGCAAAAAGACATTTCTCATGTTTTCAATAAAGGAGCTTAATCTTAGCAGCTTAATCATAGCAGTTTGGGAAGGAATTGAACAAGGAGATAGAGAAAAGAGACTGATGAAGTTAACATTTGGGGGAAAGAGTGCCCCCAAATCCTCAAATGTCTTAATTAGGTCCGTGGACTTAATTAGAATCAGCCTGGTTTCAGGAGAGCGTTTCTATTCTCTTAGACTCACATGTACAAGCTTCAAAATTGTGGCGGAGACTCGCTGTCTTTTGGTGGTATGACCTTGAAAATAGAGAGCTGTCCTTCAGAGATTCAACCTGCCCTCATGTAAAAGGCTCCCATAGCTCAGCTTTGGGAAGGCTTGAGAATTCTTCCAGGAGTTCGCCCCGGTAAATGATCATTCAGAATTTCTGAGAGCACTTGTCTTCCAGGGCTCTTTAATTAGTGTGAGTTGTCTCTCTCTTGACATAGCTTACATCAGTTTTCACCAATTGTTTCCTTGTTCTGACGGAAAGAAATAAAAGCAAACACTGTCAGGAGATTGGAAGAAAAATTCCAATCTCTGGGGGAATCCTACTCTGCAGTATCTCCCCAATGAGCTCTTCCCTCCCCACATCCTCATTATT